CCAATAGAGTTTTACATCTTGAAATTTAAATTATATTTTATTATAAAATAAGAATTATTAGATGAAAAATGATCTTCAATATCAAGAGACTTATTTATATTAAGTGATTTATATTGTGTAATTTAAATTAATTTTTTCTCAAATGCCAAGTGAGTTACTTCTTTTAGAATTTAGATTATATTAGGTTATAAAATAAGAATTATTAGATGAAAAATGATCTTCAATATCAAGAGACTTATTTATATTAAGTGATTTATATTGTGTAATTTAAATTATATGATACTTTTTATGCAAAGAAAATATAAGTTTTCTTCACTTGTTCCCTAGATTATTTTTATTATCTACAGGTAAAGAAAATGTAATAAGTCAAATGGGCAAATGGAAGAATGGAGAGTGGACTTGGAATTTGAAGTGGAGGCGTGCTCTCCAGGAAGAGGAAGCTATCCAATTACAGAATATGATTAGTAGGTTGAACACCAAATCACTTACCAAGGGAAGAAGGGACGTATGGCACTGGAAACATGATCAAAATGGCATCTACAGTGCAAGTTCAGGTTACCAGACACTATCAAGATCCTTCTCATCCACAAGGGGGGTAATTTTCAACAAGATTTGGAACCCCCACATACCCACAAAGGTCAGTGCATTCAGTTGGCTAGTCACACAAGACAGAATTCCATCTAAAGTTAATTTATGGAGGAGGGGTGTATTGAGAGATGTTAGTATGATTATGTGTAAAATGTGTGAGGAGGGTGATGAATCAACAAGGCACCTATTTCTACACTGCCATATAGCTAATATATTGTGGGGAAGATGCTGTTGTTGGTGGGGTGTGGAAGGTGTTCTTGCCGAATCCTGTTCAGAGGCTTTTGTTCAACATGAAGGCTGGTTCAAAGATAAAAGGTCAAGGGAGGGATGGGAGGTGATTTGGTTTGCAGTCATATGGACAATTTGGTTAGCTCGTAATGGAAAAATCTTCAACAATGAGACAGTGGATACAGACCAACTATTTCAATTGATTCAAGCCAGATCATTCATATGGCTCAAGGAGAGAAAAAGAGGACACAAATTTTCCCTCTCAGACTGGTTGCAAGATCCTAGATCAAGCATGAGGAATGGTTAGCAAATTTTCTGAATTGTGTGTTTATGTATGTGTTAAGAAGAAATCAGTCCAAAGTCTTGGCATCTTTTTGGATTTGAGGAAGGGTTGCTGGCTGTATGTTTTTCAACTGGGATAAGATGCAAAACCCTGTGGTGTGTTTTTGAAGGACTAGATGTGCTATTCTACCATTGAAAAAATTGCAAAGGAAGACAGAAACCCGACACGGGTGTGGTGTCGACACTAAGTTTGGTATCGACACCATACAGTAAGCATCCAAAATTAGGCCGGACTGTTCGGCTCTCATTAATTTATGTCTTTCAAGTTGGAATGTTTATGGGTTTAGAATACCCCTTGTATTCCACTTTTTAATAAATATCACTTTTGCTGTTCAAAAAAAAAAAAAGTTTTCTTCACTTTGTACCACTGTAGTGGAAAAGAAAAGGGATAATATTGATTTTA